TTTCCATAATTCATAAGGGGTTTTGTCTTCCTTTTTCCAGGGTACCTTATTTAAAAGATAATTGGCCGACAACACAACTTTCCCCTACATGTTCTTAGACAACCTAGAACTTATTAGCATTGCATTCATCATTTCTTTCAAAGTACGATTCTTTCACTCAACAATTCCATTTGACTAAGGCAAATAAGGTGCTGTGGTTTCATGTATAATTTTGTGTTGTGCATAGAAATCACAAAACGGTGATTCATACTCACCACCTTGGTCACTTTGTAACACTTTTATCTTTTTATTGAGTTGATTCTCAACTTCATTCTTATAAAGAATAAACTTATCAATAGCTTCGTCCTTACTTTTTAGCAAATACACATAACAATATCTTGTGCTATCATCAACAAAAGTAATAAAATACTTATTGCCACCCCTTGTTTGTACAAAATTTAGGTCACAAATACCACTGTGAACTAAATCAAGAGGATTTGTGATTCTTTCAATACTATTAAATGATGACCTTGTTAATTTTGCCTCAACACAAGTTTCACACTTATGTTTGGAATCGATTTGGAAAATCGGTGTATGATTTAAGTTAATTAATTTACGCAAAGTATTATAATTAACATGTCTTAGTCTACCATGCCGCACATACCACACATAGGAAGACTCAAGCAAATAAGCAGAAGAAATTCTCTTATTAATACTTTTAGGTTTTACATCACAAACATTGAGCTTAAACAGCGCATCACTCACGTAACCCTTTTTCGACATACATTCCATTATTTGACAAAACTACTTTGTCCGACTCAAGAACAATATGAAAACCATGCTTTTTCAACAAAAAAACCAGACACTAAGTTCTTACGAATTTCAGGCACATACAAAATGTTGTTCAAAGTTAGCTCTTTCCCAAATGTCATCTTTAACACCACCCTTCCTTGGCCTTCAATCTCAGAAGTAGCTGAGTTTCCTATGTACAACTTTTCCCCATTCTCATTTGGTTCAAAGGAATTAAATAGTCCTTTGTCTGAGCAAACATGTCGAGTGGCTCCAGTGTCAAGCCACCATTCTCTTGGGTTAGACCCAACCGGATTCACTTATGAAATCATTGAATGAAATAGAGACAACAACAGGAACAAAATAAAATAGTAAAACAAATCAAATAGTAAACAAAGAAAATAATACACGCGATTTACCCTGGTTCACCCAATGTGGGCTACGTCCAGCTGAGTCAATATTATTGCAATATGCCTCACCTCTCTCGTTTACAATGAATGAATTGCTCTCACACACATAACAAGAGAAAAGTATGTTTATATACTAGGTTTAAGAGATTAAACCTAGTTTTACAAGGATTCCTATTCCTAAGTCCAACCCAATAAGGAATTAGTAACTTAAAAGAAATCCTACAGCAGTTATACATGGAAAAGCCCAAAACCGCCTACGGGCTCGGGGGCGCTACCCCTGCAACCCCCGCCCGCCCTCCTGCTCACCAGGGAGCGGGGCACCCGCCCGCTGATCGAGCAACGGGACCCCTGAGTGCGTCTCCGTTACCCATTAATGCTGAAGTAGTCGACAACTCCAACAATCATTGTAGAGAGACTTATGTCAGAGACATCATGAGTAATATTCTCCATAACATTTGCCTCTTTGATTCGGCTTCTCCTTGGCAATCTACAATCAAAAGCTTTGTGACCCATCTTGTCACAATTAAAACACTTGCCTTGGAACTTTTTTGGCTTGTTAGAGTTGCCTCTTTTTGGCCCCAGCTTGGCCTTTTCCCTAATGTTCTTAAAGTTAGAACTTTGACCATGCTCCAGAATATTTGCTTTTGCTGCTGCAGGAATAAACCCTGTTTTTTTAGAACTTTTGTTGTCTTTTTCAATCCAAAGTCTAACAATGAGTTCTTCAAGGTTCATCTCCTTTCGCTTGTGCTTAAGATAGTTCTTGAAATCTTTCCATGCGGGAGGAAGCTTCTCAATAATAACAGCTACTTGGAAAGTTTCACTTAGCACCATCCCTTCATAATGAATTTCATGCAAAATCAATTGGATCTCTTACATTTGATTGATAACAACTCTTAAGTCCACCATTTTATAATCAAGGAATCATCCCACCACAAACTTTTTGGACCCAACATCTTCAATTTTATATTTACGGTCTAAAGACTCCTATAATTCTTTGGCCGTTTCCTTCGAAGCATACACAATGTACAATGAATCCGTCAGACAATTCATGACATAATTTTGGTACGAAAATTCAGAATGTTTCCAAGCATCAATAGCACTGATAACTTGAACATCGTGGTCATCTTCTTTGAGCGTGAGAGCATCCTTATTCAAGAATCTCGCAAAATTCAAGGTGGTCAGATAGAAAAACATCTTTTGTTGCCACCTCTTGAAATGTATTCCACTGAATTTTTTGGTTTTTTCACATGGTTCATAGGAATAGAAACCAGTGCCACATGAGTTGGTGTGGTAGCCACAACTTGAGTTGATACATCACCGGGGTTTGATTCGAATGTCATTTTTTGAAAAATCCAAACCAAAAAATTATTATGTGAATTTTTTAATAGTAGTCAATAAATAATTCCCCGGAAACACTAGAGGGGTCACAAACGGTCCCTCTTAAAATCCAGTCTCCTTAGACAAAATTTCTCGAACTCGTACTGTTCAAATTTCACCACCACACTTTTACTGCACAAGGACGGCAACCTTAGGGAATATCAAAATCCAATATTTTCAACAAATTACAATAAAATACAGTTACTAATAAAATCAAATCTGTTTTAAGATTGTTATAATATAATCAACTATTTTATTAGTAACCGCAAATAATAAATCTATTTAATATAAAAACAATAGAATTAAATGTCAATAAAATAAAATGACAATATAATAAAATTAATAATACCAACAACGTGATCATGTGTAGGAGATCCTTCAGAATGACAGGAAGAGATCCGATAAAGAATACAACCTTAGGATAAATGTCGAGGCCTGTGTAACACACAGTTTTCTTAAAACAGATTTGTCTTTTTCACTTGGGTGCACAAGGATTTGAGCAGCGTTTGTTTCTCAGGATACAACGACAGATGAATAGCAAGAGAAACACCACTCTTCTATTCTAACAAACTGAATTAAGCTTTAACTCCAACAAAGGAAAATCTTAAAAACTAGAGAGAAAATAAGAGATTGAAATTTTGGTGTCTTTGAAATGAGAGCAAGAACGCCTTTTTATACTACTTAAGGTAAGACAAAACATTGAATTTCACCATTTTTTTCCACCTTTTCACTTTCCAATTCTTAAAGTCTCCTCCATTAATCCACTAATCTTTCATCTTTCAAATTCTCAACTTACACCAACAGTAGACCGCTTTTTTTTTTTCTTTTCCAAAGTAATGGGCTAAAAAATCGTCCCTTTAATTACTTCAACCATATCGCATTTCAGCAATGAGAGATTCTTAAGATTCATTTTCATATTTTCATCCTTTCCAGGAAATTAACAATCTCCAAATTATGAAACTGTTAACTACAGAAACAAATTTGTCTTTAAGTTTTTCCCTTCATCATTTTAATATTTCCAATTCATCAATGACCAAAAACCTCAACGCAATAGCAACTGTCGGATTTTCCATTGGTCTTTGCATTGATTTCTCACACGGGAAATGAGATTTGGCCTCTACTTTTTGTTTTCATGGCCTTTGGAATCAAAATAGTGATCCAGTGTATCTACATAACCCAAATAACGATGGGCTTTTTGCTAAACTTTCAGTCGCAACAAAAAGATCTCTCTCTCTCTCTCTATATATATATATGTATATAAGTGTTAATTTTACTTTTTCGTTTTCTATGAAGCCGGCCTTACTGTATGTATGTATCATGCGATAGAACCACAAATTTAAAACTCTTAATTCACCTATCACCTCTTTGCTATTAGGTGGATTACATCATTTTGACTAATTCAACCTCTAAACCCATAATCAACTCAACCATATACAGCTTTTTTTTTTTCTTTTCCAAAGTAAATGGTTAGTGTCACTGACCTCTCTGCTTCGGATTTGTCTAAAACATAAATAATAAATATAGTCTATTTAGTTGATAATCTCCTCTATCAGATATATTTATAGTAATTTGATGGATTCACGGAGGTTTTAATAGGATGTGGTTATCCTAACCATATTTTCGTGAAAGTCAAATGTTCAATAGAGTTTACCCATCAAAAGAAAATGGAGAAAATAGATCCAAATAGAATCTCATATGATGGTAAAAGAGCAAAAGAAGTTTCATGAGTTTTTGAATTCAAGTCCTCTCAAGCACTTATAGGGATTGTCACATAGGTTCTTACTCGACCGACAGTTTTCGGACCTCAAGAATTAGTTGAAGTACTCACAAGTTGATTCTAACACCTTCAATAATAAAAAGAAAATTAAAAATTAATATATATCATATGATGTTTTACAATTTAAGCAAGAAGCACACTCATAAAAAGATGTTTATATATTCAATGTGCATTTTGAAAAGTAATTTTCCTCTTTTTTTTTTTTTAAATAAATAATGCTCGTTAATTACATAATAAATTTTGTCAATTCAAGCTTCCAATTTGTAGTATATTATCCTAGATATAAAACCATGAAATAAATAATAGAAAATATATACATCTAAAATCCAAAAGGTAAAAACACAAGGAATGGTTAATCGCAGGCGAAAGATCCTAGGCCAGTAAGGCCACCATGGCTGTCTTTGCCCAGACTTGGTTTAGTTTAATTGTTAAATGTAATTGCATCAGATTATACCTAATATTGGACGGGTCGTCAGCTGCATCTAGAACCAGATACATATTAAACATTGCATTTGACAAAATCTTAGTTAACTGATGATAAAAAAAATCAAGAGGATGACATAAGAGAGAATGATATAAATTATCAACCTAGGGGGTTGAAAAACAGGAACATCTGTTGAGCCATTTCTCCTTGAAATTAAATAAATATAGCGACCACTCAACCAATTAGTTAGTTTAAATACGTTTGTTTTCCATCAGTGAAGAGTGGTTTCTTCCATGGTACAAAGGACCGTACTCAAGGTTGATCTTTCATGTAAAAAATGCAAGAAGCAGCTCCTCAAAGCAGTTTCTGCACTCCAAGGTAAACTCGGTTTCATCTTTTTCGTTTTCTGGTTTCATCATCTTAAACAATTCTCAAATTTCAAAATCAATCTAATCTGCTGATTTTAATTTTTGTAATAAACGAGATAAAAGGTAGGTCAATTAATAACCAAAGGTGGGAATTGTTTTGATCATCTTGAACTCATTCCAAAATCAGGTGTAGATAAAATTGAAGCTGATGCAGCTAAGGGGACACTCACTGTAACAGGTAATGCAGATCCATATGAAATTATAGTCCGTACAAGAAAAACCGGAAAATTTGTAGAGGTAGTGAGTATTGGGCCTCCTCCACCTCCACCTAAACAAGATGGGCCAAAGAAGCCCGAACAAAAGGCCCCCATCCATCTCTACTACCCCTACAGCTGCCCTTTATGTGACCGAATGACTGTTGTCCATGTAGATCGCTGCCAGGATCCCACCACCGGATGTTCTATTTTGTGACTTCTATGTTATTACCCTTTATTAGCCTGTAAATTGTTTCCTATTATATTGGTTATGCCAATTTTATTGTTTTTGGGACTGTGATGAACTAAAAATTGTGCAATACCATGTTCCAAATTTGAAATGATACTTATGCATGAAAATGTTTAATTTATACTGCACTTGAGAGTGGTTGATTGACTTAACAAATACTATATAGCTATAATCAAATAGTTATATTTCCATATGACATAAACTTCAGTATCTTTTCTACTACAAAAAAAAAAAAAAAAAAAATGATACAATATCACAATTATTTGAATAATATCATAATACCAAATTATGTAACAATTGTTAGGAAAATATATGTTTTCATTGCTAAACAGCTATATTTACGTATGATAAAACAGTGAAAATTTCTCCCAAATAGTAAGATGAACAAGTGTATAGCCCAAAATAACCCAATCTACAAGATTACAAATGAAATTCGTAGCAAGGGTATGTGTTAGAATATGAAATTTGCAAGTGAAAGCTCAAAAAACTTTGATTGAATGTTTTTGTTTTGGTTAATATGAAAATTTTGGAGTGTGCAAAAAATGTTTCAGAATGGGTTTAGTTGGATTTATATAGAGGAGTACAAAATAAAGTCACAGGAACCAGTTGATTGTTTCCAATTCAATTGACCAAGTCTGATGTGGCGCGGTTGGCACTTGTATGGTGCACACGTGGCATTAGCCATTAGAAACAGCTAAGCCACATCCGGTCGACCATACCAGCTGGGCAAAATGGGGTTTGCTCGAATTCAAATCCAAAAGACAACATGGTCGATCAGATAGGCGTAAAAAAGTGTTTGTTTTCAAACCTTGTCAAATATCATTTACCTCTAAAACTTTAAATATGATATTTAAGCGTCTTAATGATACCCAAAAACCTGATGCATAATCCGTTTAACCAACTTGGGTTCAACTGCAAAATATGAAAATTTGGCATATATAATTAACCCCTAAGTTTGAAAAGTAAAATTTTGACTCAAATCCAAAAACAAGCTTTTGAGAGCTTTCAGATGCACATGACTTTTCTAACCAAAGACTCATGTTTAATACAATTGAAGATGATAACAAGCAAACTATCTAGACTTAGCTTTCTTGAATTCTTCCAAATTCTTCATCCTAGCTCTATCTTTTACCTCTCTAATATTTATTTGAATGCTTTGTGAAGTTCCTTGTCATATAAATCTACACTTGAGCACAAGTCATTAGTAATAATGCTTAGGGACATATTAGTTTGTTATCATTAAATTAAGAGTATGATGACTCATTGAGTTTATATAACTTATGACGTCTTAGCATTAATTATAAGGAAATAATTTTTTTATTTGTTTAATCAACCTATAATTAATGTGATACGAACGTATCATCAACCATGTTATTTGGGACAAAAAAAATGATGTTTCAATTTGTATATATAACATTATTGCAATATATATATATAATAAAGAAACTCTTCAAATAGTTTTAAAATCATTAGAATGTTTGAGACTAACAATGTTTTAGGAGGAGTGAAATAACTCATGCAATGGACCTAGTAGCGATCAGCTTAATATTTTGGGTATGGAGTCCTCAAGGTTTGAGCCTTGTAGCTCCATTTGTCTAACTATTTTTATGGTATTAAGTTTATATCTTAATTTACTTCTCTTCGACCACAGTAATGCATTAATTTATATTAAAATAAACAAAATTTTAGAGAAAAATTCAAGTTAGGTTAATTTATAATTGAAAAGCTTAAATTTTTTCCTTCCAAATTTTAATTGATATATATTGAAAGTTATTCTACAAGTGAAGTTGCAAACTCAACCCTTTGGAATTAAATAGAAGAAGAATGGAAAGGCAGTTAATAAAGGTGGGATTGAAACTTAAGCACCTCCCTTGTGAATATTAATTTGAATCTGGGTTAGAGGTTCTAGAAATTCATTTCTTCGTCCATCCATAGCGGAAGGTTAACCGAATCGAACTCATTTTTTATTTTTATTAGGCAATGAACAAATAAACAAGATCTAATCTACATAACACTTTACCAAAAGTTGAATGTTAAAACACAAAACCACAGGACCCATCGCCCAGATTTCACGATTCAGACAACCACACGGGCCAGTCAAGTTTTCACTTCACAACACAACACACAGGCCCTTAATTAGCAAACAATAATCTTGAGACTATATATGTAGACTATATATGTATCAGATACAAAAATGCTATATCCATAGAAAAAATTGCACCGAAATAGGTGGAGCTCCTTTTCTTTGACAGGAAGCCAAAAATGCTAAAACCAAACAACAGAAAATATAAAAAAAAAAAAAAAATGTCTTTTACGCTTTCCCACAACCCATATGCTTTTTTGACGCCGCTTCCTTTCTTTCATGGCCTTCCATGGCTTTTTAACAGTTAATGGAGAAGAAGAATAAGAAGAAGAAGGAAAAATCACAGGAGGAAATCAACACTTATTAGTAGATGATGACCTCAGAGAAATAGGCAAGAAAGCTGCTTGGAGTGTTAGCTCTTGTAAGCCACGCAATAGTGTCTCCTCTCTTCGTGATGATAATCTTGATACCTATTAGTAGTAAAACTTCTCTCCACTCTCTCCAATTGCTTTTTAATTTTATTAAAAAAAACTAATATGTAATGGACGGCCGTCCTTACACAATCGACGGACATCCATTTGAAATGGACGCTCGTCCATTCTAAATTTTTTTTTAAATTTTTATATTTAAAAAAAAAATTAATAACATTAAATATGAGTCAATAGACACGTAGATCGGTATAAAATTTTAGTGTAAAAATCCTGTGTCTATAGCATTGTTGGTATCAGATATCATCATAAACCAGAACAGATATTAATCTAAAATATAATAAAAAAACTGATCTTCAAAAATCAGAAAAATAAATAAATCCAAAACAGATCATCGAAAATCAGTATGCTCAGTACTTTACATATAAACTATATTTAAAAGGATAAAATAATGAAGCTAAAAGTCAACACTTTAACTGAAATAATATTAAAGAATGAAAATAATTTGTTAATTAAAGAGTAACGGCAATNCCATCCTACCAGATTCCGGCCATTTTCCGGTGGTGGTGGCCGGAATCTGGCAAATGTGGATTATTGGGGTGTTTTTGTAATTTTAAAAAAATATTTAGGGGTATTTAATTAAATTATCAAATTTAAGGGGTTTAAAAAAAGTTGAATAATATTGGGAGTAGTATTCCCAAAAATCTGAGTTTTTGGGTATTTTACTGTTTAACTTTTTTGGGAATACTAAAAGTAGTATTCCCAAAACTGAAACAAACGCAGCCATAAATTTTTAAAATACTATTTTATTATCTAAATTTATTTTCCATTTTCGATTTTGACATTATTGCTACCCCACATCACTATCATTATCTTCTCCAACCATCACTCACAAAAACCTCTCAAACCCTATTCCCACCGATTCTGTCAATCGCCAAAAATCTAATGATTAGGGTTTACGCAACTGTCCCTTCCAAGTCAAATTTTAATTAATCCCAACCACTAAAATCTAATTTTCTACTATCAAAAGACTTGTCGGTCTCCCCTCTTCGAAAACCTTAACAGTCTGGATTGAGTTTATTCTTTGTTTGCTGTCGGAATATAAAATTGGATAATAAAATGATATTTTAAAAGTTTGTAAATGAAAAATATCATTAAACTACTATTTGGGTGGGAAAAAGTCCTTAAATTAAATTTACTGCCAAAACGAATAACCCACCACTACCCACTAACCAGTTGATTTGATGTTCCAACCTCATAATAAACCTTCCAAGTAAAAATGTTTGTTATCATGTCTCATGGGTTTCAGAAACCGTTTGTAAAGTTGAGTTCTTACGTTTCTTCATGAAATTTGAGATAAAACAAGGCTTGAAAGTTGAAACCCTCGATTACAGATGAAGGAGAGTGCTACCTTTAGATGTCAACGTTCAAAATTTGGTATTCCCGATGAGTTAGAAAAATACACTTTCTTTTACTTTTAACATTTATTTGGGAGTAAACGGATTTTCCCTTCTGAAAAGTTACAAAATACTATTTTGTTTCACCCAAAATTTATATTTTGTTTATTATCTAAAATACAATTTCTGATTCAACGGTCAATAGAAAGTAAATTTGGTCCAAGTTTTTGAGGTTTTTGAAAAGGAGATACGGATGGTGAATCTTTTGACTGTAAAATATTAGATTTTGGTAGTCATGATTGGTAAGAATCTGACTTGGGAGGGATAATTACGCGTTTCACAAATCACGCATTTATCGGCAATTAACAAGGTTAGTAAAAGCAATATTTGAGGAGTGATGATTGATAAAGAGAATGATGGTAGTATGAGATATCAAAGATGTCGGAATTGATTGACGATTGATCGGAATATAAAGTTTGAATGAAAAAGTGGTATTTTGAATTATTTTTTTGGTAGAAAAAATGTCCCTTGGGTGGGAAAAAGTCGTTTGCTCTTTATTTGGTCCAAAATTTTCCCGACTTTTATCTTATTCGTCTCGCAAGAAAATCTTTTCTTCAGTAAGAAAAAGAAACAACTCACCACCCTTAAAACATGGTGTATATTGTAAAGAAAGAATTAATACTCTGTCGGGAGATGGTTAAGAAGGAACTGCATATTAATCTGGTAAAGTTTCCGTAGTTTGAAAGAAATATCTTTTACACTATAATTCAATCTTAAAAAAAAAAAAAAAAAAAAATGTCAAACGTCGCTTTTAACCCAACGATCATTAAACTAACTAGTGTTGTCGTGTCAAGCAAACTACAAGCGGTTCTGGGCGATGATTATATGCCCTTCTTTCATCTCTTCTCTTCAACAAAATAAAGTTGAAATATAATCAAGTCGGATAAGTAATGGCCAATGATCAAGATAAAATACCCAGAGTTTTTTGTGTTGGAACGGCCGATACTAAGTTGGAGGAGCTACAGTTTCTGTCTGAATCCGTTCGCTTCAATCTCACCTCCTTCTCCTCTTCCCAGG